GCACTGCCTGAGCGGCCTCTGACCCCGTGCCCCGCCAGGAGCGGCACCACACGAAGGTGCAGTACCAGCTGAAGTCGGAGCACGTCTCGCTGGCACAGGTGTTCGGCAAGATGGAGCAGGTGGTGGGCGTGCTGGGCCTCGAGGACTATTCAGTCAGCCAGACCACCCTGGACAACGTGAGTGCCCTGGGCGGGGGCCGCCGGGCCCGCCTGGGCTGGCCCCCACCCACCCCCTCGTCCCTGCCCACCAGGTGTTCGTGAACTTCGCCAAGAAGCAGAGCGACAACCTGGAGCCGCAGGAGGCAGAGCCACCCTCGGCGCTGCAGCCCCCGCTGGGCCGCCTGCTCAGCTTGCTCCGGCCTCGGCCCCCCACCACTGAGCTGCGGGCGCTCGCGGCCGACGAGCCCGAGGACCTGGACACGGAGGACGAGGGGCTCGTCAGCTTCGAGGAGGAGAGGGTGAGCAGGGTCCGAGAGTCGGGGCAGCCAAGCCGGCCGGAGAGCCCAGGCTCGGGATGGGGGTGGGGCCCGGGCCCCGGGCCCCCTGCTGTCCTGAGCTCACGGGAACAGAGGGACCCGCCTGATGCTCAGGACTATAGTGGACACAGGGCACAGGCAGAGGAGACAGACCCACACAGACCCCAGAACAGCTGGGAAACGGAGGGCATTTCAGAGACAGAGTGGGGGTGGGGGGAGCAGAGCCTGGGGACAGCAGCCACCGGCCTGGCAGAGACAGGCCACGCGGGGAGCTGACCACTGAGAGGAAGCTCAGGGCGGACAGAGGTGGCAGAGCCTGCGTTCGGGCCGGCTTGGGGCAGGCGCGGGGCCAGACGCCCGAGCCAGGCCTGTCCCTGTCCCCCAGGCCCAGCTCTCCTTCAACACGGACACGCTCTGCTGACCGCCGGAGCTGGGTCAAGGTCACGCTGTGGGAACGGAAGTTGGGCGGTGGCTGAGGTCCCACCCCGTGCCCCCAGTGTCCGCCTGCCAAGGCCCTGGAGTGGGAGGTCCAGGACCAAGGGCTTCAGGCCCCTCCAGCCCCGCCCTCCTCGGCCATCGCGCCGCCCTCCCCTCATTGTGCCAAAGGCTGGCCCGGCCCCGGGCTGCGCACACCCTCACCCTGCTCTGCCTTAAAGCCTTGGGGTCTGGCCAGCCCCTCGCCCCCGCCCAGCTCTGCCCACCACCCCCAGGGCCACGGGGTGACCCGGGCTGCCAGGTACCGCCCGACTTCTCCTGGCGACCCCTGCCCTCCTGAACGGGCTGTTCTCTTGCACCCAGTTTGGATGGTGGCTGCTGCCAGCCTGGGACTGGGGGGCGGGGTTAGGTCCCACCCAAGGCGCCTGTTCATCTTGCTTTAGGACGAGCCTCGGCACCCTGGTTTCCCACAGGGAGCCGTTGTCGTGGGCCGGGGAGGGGGCTGCCACGGGGCAGTGGGCCGGGTAGCAGGAACGGAGAAGCTGGCCCCACCGGCCCGGTGAGGGGCCGGACCCCCTCCCCACCCCCTCCAGCTGCCATTGCTCTCCCACCCAGCTTGGCCCCCTGCCCGCCCACCCGGGAGCCAGACCCCTACGGAGCCCCTACGGAGCGCACAGATGTTTGTTTTAAATAAATAAACAAAAAAGTTCACGCCAGCTTGCGTGTGTAGGGTGGGGTGTGGGGTGAAGGTGGGCGCGCTGGATGCCAAAGTACAGCCCCTGCCCCGTAGGCCGGGCTTAGGGTGGGGGAGGGTGCCTGGGTCAGCCTGGAGGAGGCGTGGGCTCCTCCCCCTGCAGGCCGGGCTCAGGAGAGAAGTTTCCAACACAGGGATGAGGTCGAGGACAGCAGCCCTGGGACCTCGGGCCGAGCCTGCCCCGCAGGGACTGTGAAAGGAGGCGGGCGGGCAGCCCCCAAGGGCCCTCGGGGGCTGCCCTGTGGATATGGCAGGGACGGCGGGGAGGGTTGCTTAGAGACAACGCAAGTGGCTGGGGTAGGTTGTGGTCTGGTTAATGTTGGTGACCATAGGTTCTCACTTCTTGAAAAACTTTGAAACATGGTAGAAATTTCACATAATCCAAATGGATAGAAGACACAAATTGAATGTCTGTGTTTGTACACGTCAGAGGTCAGCTTGCAGGATACACACAAGCATAGGCTCAGAGTAACATACACTAATGGGGAGGTTTCCAGTTTGCTGGGTTTCTCTCTCCCACTTGGCCTGGTTTGCTAGGGCTGCCATAACAAAGTACCACAACCGCGGCGCCTTAAACACCGGACATTTACTCTCACTGTCTGGGGGCCAGAAGCCCAAGATCGAGGTGTTGGCAGGTTGGAGCGTCCCGAGGCTGTGAGGGACGGTCTGCTCCCTGCCCTCCCAGGTGCTGGTGGTTTTCTTTGGGGCCTTTGGCTTTGGAAGCGTCACCCCCACCTCTGCCTCCACCTCCACACAGGGTTCTCTCCCTCTGTGTGTGTGTGTGTGTGTGTGTGTGTGTGTGTGTCCACATCTCCCCCTTTTTTATATGTAAATATATATTTTAAAAACATTTATTTTTGGCTGTGTCGAGTCTTAGTTGCAGTATTCAGGATCTTCGTTGTGGTGCGTGGGCTTCTCTCTAGTTGTGGCCTGCATGCTTAGTAGTTGTGGCGTGCAGGCTTAGTTGTCCCATAGCATGTGGGATCTTAGTTCCCCTACCAGGGATCGAACCCACGTCCCCTACCTTTAGAAGGCAGATTCTTAACCACTGGACCACCAGGGAAGTCCTTCCCCTGTTTATAAGGACACAGTCATGTTGGGTTAGGGCCCATCATAATGACCTCCTGTTAACTTGATTACTTCTGTAAAGACCCCCTCTCCAAATACGGTCACATTCTGAGGGGTGGGGGCTTGGGGAGGAGGACTTCATATGAATTTGGAGGGGACACAGTTCAGCCCGTAACACTAGTAAATCTCAGGCTAATGAGACCCACCTCCTCCATCCGCTCCTGTGGATGCACCAGGACTCTGCCACACCCTGGGGGACTGCACACCCGTTTGTCCCTCGTGTACTTATGGGGACGACTCGATGGCAGCTGCTGTTTACCAGGGACGCCCCCAGAGTGTTTCCCCACACGCTTGCCAAGAATATGGTTGCCACATTTCTGCCCGTTGTAAGCACAAACCGTATGTATGTTGTTCTGATTTGTTCTTGGAACACGTGTACAACGAAACACACTGTTATGTATTCTGTTGGTGTTTTATTTCCTTTTTTCTGAACCACGTGTTCATTTGTCCATGTCACCATTTTTCTAACGGATGTGTAAGGGTGGCTTTACACACAGAACATCTGGTGAACAGGTGCAGTTGTGGAGGGGCCTCGGCCCTTCTCCAGGGTGGCAGTTTGTGTGGCAGGGAAGCAGGAAGGGAGCGGGGTGACCCCCCCAGTTGTTGAGGAGCAGCCCCATGGTGGTGGCAGGTGGTCCAGGCCCCAACTCCACAGTATGTCGAGGTCAGCCCCAGGCTCAGGGGGCCTCTGCCAGGAGCCCTGACCACTGTTGCTTCGGGAGAGGGTCTGTCGGGCTGGGGGCCTGGACGGGGGAACGAAGCCCTGGGCTTGGAGTGGAAGGCGCCAGGCAGATCCCACTAGCTGCCACCAGGTGGCGCTGCACCACGATGGCTCCTCCCTAAGCCCCCCTCCCCCCAGGCGCTGGGCCCCAGTGGGGGAAGTCCGGTGAGTGGCCCCTATCGGGGCGGGCCGGCAGGCGCACACCTGTGAGGCTGCCAACTCCCCCAGCCTCCTCTGGCCTCCTTCCAGTCCAGGGTGGGGAGGTGGAGGGGGGTGGGGAGGGGGGAGGGGGGTAGGTCCCCATGGCTCCGAAGATTGTGGCTTCTAACCCCAAGCGTTCTTTCTTTCAAAGGTTAAGAGCAGGGAGAAACTCGCCCTGAGCCCACAACGGAGAGGCAGGGGTGTGGGGTCGGCCGGGTAAAGACACCTGAGCCCGGCCAGTCCCCCTTGGGCGCGTTTGGAATGTGGGCCCTGCCCTGGGCGGGGGCGGACTCTTATCTAACGGAGATCAGTAGGTGGGAGGGGGGCGTCCCTCCCAAGGGTTTATCACTCCTGTAGTGCCCAGATGCGGAAACAGGCTGTGGCCGGGCTGTTCATCTCCCTCCCGCTCCTCGGCTTTCTGGGCTGGGAACCCTCACAGGCGGCGGGGGTGTCCACTGCAGGGAGGGCTGTTGGGCTCACGGTGGGGGTGGTCCTGCTCCAGATCTGCCCCCTCCCAGGTCGGCACCCCGACTGCCAGTGCACTGGCTTCCTCCACCACTCCGGCCCCCGAGCCGTGGCGCCCCCGGTCCAGCTCCGAGCACTCAGTTCTCCACGGTCACACCCTCACGCCGGCACTGCCCTGGCTGCCTGTGCGCCACCTAGGTGACTCCGCAGGGCGGGCTCCCGGGCCGGGGAGGGCGGGGCGCTCGGGGAACCTTAAAGGGAGCTCCGCAGGTCCCCGCGCAGGCCCTGCCGCCGCCCGAAGCTCCCCACCATGGCTGAGACCGCCAAGCTCCGGCTCTCTGTCAAGGTGCTGGGCTGGCCGGGCTGCTGGGAGGGTCTGGGGAGGGCTGAAGGGTGGGTCTCTGCAGCAGGGTCCACACCCCTTGCCCTGCGCTGGCCTCTGGCTGTCCTTTGGAGGCTGTGTAGGTGGGGGTGGCGAGGGGGGTAGCGCCGGTGAACCATTCCCAAAGGGCTTGGGGTGGCCTCACCCTGACTCCCAGCCTTGACTTCCGGGCACAGCCCAGCCCTCCTGAAGGAAAAGCTCCTGGGGGGCGGGGGGCATGTAGCAGGCAGGGAGCAGTGGCCGAGGCCCGATGGAGGCTGGGGTCAATGCAGCAGAAGAGGAGCTGTGCCAGGCAGCCCTCCGTGCCTAGATCTGCTGACCCCAGTGAGGGGCTGCCAGGGCCTGGCCTCCTCCCACCCTTGAAGCCCGGGGCAACGAGGTACCCGGTGCAGCAACGTGAATCACTCCGAAAACAGCTCACTTGTCCCACCCCACCCTTGCGACCAGCCTGCAGGGCCTGGTGCCCAGGGGCCTAGCCTCAGCCCAGGCTCTGAAAATAAGGGCCGAGGGATCAAGCTCCTGAGCCAGGCTCCTGCCTCTGCACCCCTCACCCCAGTGTCCTGGCCCAGCCTCCAGGCTCTCAGCAGCGCTGCAGCCCTCCCCACCTCCCAGGGACCGAGTGAAGGGCCCTCGCAGCCACTTGTCCAGGCCATGCCCAACTGAGTTGGAGCCCTAGCCTTGCTCCAACCTCTTAGCAGTGGAAGGCCGCGGGGCTCCTGGGTGTGCTCCCTGCTCCGACGACCCCCTACACCTCCCATCCAGGCGAGCCAGGACGGTGAAAGCGTGGTTCACTGCCTTTCTTGTCAGAGGCCCCACGATCCTGCTTCTCAAGGGCGTGTCCTTCACACTCGCCACCATGGACCCCCGCAGGTGAGCCCCTGCCCCGGGAAACCCTGTCCTGGGAACCCCTCGCTGACTTTGGCCCTCCTCGGGCCAGCCGCTTGCCCCCTGCTTTGTGCCCTTGTGCCCCAGATGTGCTGAAAGACTTTGCCCCGGGTTCACAGCTGCCCGTCCTGCTGTATGACGGCAATGCCAAAACGGACACGCTGCAGATTGAGGAGTTTCTGGAGGAGACGCTGGGCCCCCCAGAGTGAGGGCCCGGTGCGGTGGGAGGGGCAAGATGGGGCCCTCAGGCAGGACACCCCCAGGACAGAGTCCAGGGCCCCGCGGGGGACAGCAAGGGTCTGACCCAAAACCCCTCCACCCTCAGATTCCCCAGCCTAGCGCCCAGATACAGGGAGTCCACTGCGGTGGGCAATGACATCTTTCACAAATTCTCCGCCTTCATCAAGAACCCGGTGCCCGCACTGGACGATGGTGAGGAGGGTCCGGAGACACGGCGAGGCTGGGGGGAGTGGCGCCCCCGGCCGGCTCCTCACCGCGCTCCCCGCCCCCAGCCCTGTACCAGCATCTGCTGTGCGCCCTCGCCAAGCTGGACAGCTACCTGCGCGCGCCCCCGGAGCACGAGCTGGCGCGGGAACCGCAGCTGCGCGAGTCACGCCACCGCTTTGTGGACGGCGACCAGCTCACGCTGGCCGATTGCGGGCTGCTGCACATCGTGAACGTCAGCGCCGGGCCAGGCGGGGCAAGGCGGGGTGGGGCAGACCCTCGAGGAGACCCCGACCGCGCCCCTCGCCCGCAGACGGTGTGCGCGCACTTCCGCCAGGCACCCACCCCCTCTGAGCTGCGCGGCGTCCGCCGCTACCTGGACGACGCCCTGCAGGAGAAAGAGTTCAACTACACGTGTCCACACAGTGCTGAGATCCTGGCGGCCTACCGGCCCGCCGTACGCCCCCGCTAGTGTGCCCGCCTCCCCCGCCACCCGCCCGCTCCTCTGAAGCCCCAGAAAGGCATCTCTGCCTCAGTGAGCGGGTACGGACCTACGAGGACCAGAAGCTCCGCAATTTCTGCCACCCCCAAACTCCCACCGTGAGATGCTCAGCTCCAGATGATTGCCAGGAAGGACCGGCAGAAAGCTCAGTGGGCGGGGCGTGGTCCATACCCCCACTCCTCAGGGATGGCGGGACTGGACTGGGCTCCCAAACCAGTCAGGCCAGGGCGGGGCGGGAGGATGGCTGGGGAGGGTGGGGAACAGAGCCCTGTCTGGGCAACTCAGGTCTCCAGGCCGGAGGGTGGGCCCACATTCCTCAGCTCTGTCCCAGGTGGCAGGCAGGCCACCCCCATCTCCCTGGTCATCACGTGGGGTTTGCATCAGGGAGGCGGCAGGCAGGCCACCCCCATCTCCCTGGTCATCACGTGGGGTTTGCATCAGGGAGGCGTGTGCCCGGAGGGACAAGAGCAGAGTTCTAGCCTCTCAGAGCCCCAGCCCCACCTCACACAACCTTCTTGGCTCCTGGGCTGGCCAGGCAGGGTCAGCTGGGCAGGTGGGGAGAGGTGGGCAGCTCCACCATGGAGCGCAGAGCCTGATGCGGCCCCACGCCCAGACCGCAGGCCTGGCAATCCCCGAGCCCTCTCCTGGAGCCAGCCCCCAGGAACCGGAGCCAGCCCCCAGGAACCAGATCCTGGCCTTGACCTCTGTGACCTCCGCCAGATGAAGATGTTTATTTGATGGGGAAGGGGCTGGAGGAGCAGGCCTGTTCCTGCCTGGCAGCGGGATGGGCAGGTGCCAGTGGGAGGGTCCCAGGGGCTGCCCCTCCCCTGGCAAGCAGCCTCCCGACGGTCACACTTTTTGCTGCACCTTCAGGGGTCGTCGAAGTCTACACCACCAGCTGGTTTCTTGCTGGGAGAGAAGAGGGAATGACACCATGGGGGTGTGGAAGGGCGGGCAGGGTCCAGGGATGGACCCTGGGCACAAGAGGGAGGGGGAGTGGGTGGGCACCTCTTGAAGCCAGGGTTGATGAGAGACTCTCCCGGACACCGCCTCTTGACCCCAGGTCCAGGGCCACCTCTCTGAGGATCCGGGTCTGGGGAAAAGAGGATGAGGGAGGGGGGCTCCTGAATCTAGCAGGATTCACAGGATTCTCCACACAGACAGATCCTCTCTCTGGAGCTTGAGGCTTGCTCTGGGGAAACTGAGTCACCCAACCCAAGTCACAGATGACAGGCCTTACCTGGTAAGAAGAGCGGAGGGCCCACCTGCCGGGAGCTATTCCTGGGGCTGGTGGCCATCTCCTCTGCAGCAGCTGGGGAGAAAGCAGGAAGGGAGGCCCCAGCAGGGGGACCCCAGTGA